TATAATTTTATTATGATTAAGGAAAGATAAAGATATTATTTGAATATCCCATAACCACATTCAATACATTAGAAATTAATTGGATATAACTGTAAATGGAAAATGAATTACCATTTAAGAAAAATAAATGTTTGCAATACCATAATAATTAAGGAGAGAGTAAGATATTATTTTAAGATCCTAATTCGGAACTTTTAATGTATTACTCAATTAAAAAGAAAATGCATTTAATAACATTAAAAAGTTATTAGTTTATATTTTTTTCTCATTGTACTAATTCAATTGAATCAAACTTAATTTTAAAGATATAATAATAGCTTCATTTTAATTGTTATGAATATATTTAAAAAAATTATCGTGAAAAGGCTTTTGTTGCACCCTATTTTAATTTTCATATACTGTTGTTATTTTTTTCTGTCATTTTTCAATGATTTTTTATTTCGATTTAAAATTTAATGTTTATTCTTAAAACTCTAATGGTACAAATTAAGGTGGAGTAGAATATAATAAATGATGATTCTTCTACTAAATAAGAAGATATAATGAAATTGAAAGGGTGAAACTTTTTTTTTTTAAATGGATAGGAAATTCTATTAAGGTATCATTACGTCATTATTCAATATATTTTGAATATAAATTTCATTTGCTGATGCATTTGTTTAGTACTCCTTCTGTCCCTAATTATTTGTTAACTTTTCTTTTTATAGTTGTCTCTAATTACTTGTCCATTTTGACAAATCACGAAAGAACAATTTTTTTACCTATTATACCTTCAATTAAATGACTAATTACTTTGAAAATTGCAGAACTTTTCATTTACTTCATAATTAATAGGGGTAAAATGATAAACTCACTATGTCATTAATTAATTTCTTAATAAATGTGTCAATTTAAAAGTGAATAAGTAATTAGGGACAGAGGGAGTATTACTGTGTTATTTGACATTATGAGATATTTCTTACACATTTAAGGAGAATGGTACACCGGAATATATATTATATATTAAAGGATCAACTTCATGCAATGGAAGAATTTGTTATTAGCAAATATATTTGAACTTATTTGATAAAAAATATATTCTTCCTCATTTAATAGACGTAAAATTTGTGAAGCTTTATTTTTTTCACAATCTTCATATTATTAAAACAAATAAAAATATTACGATTAAACAACAGAGTAAATATAAAATTAATCAAAAATATTTAATTTAAATGATCGCGCGAAGTGCGCCCAAGTTCTCTAATTTAAAACAAAAAAGTAAAATTTAAATGGGTCTACTATAGAATTTCTAGAAATCGAACTTCAAAAATTATGTTAAAAATGGGAAATAAAAAGTGAAATAAATTTAATTGAGAGTTATCCTTCGTCTGTCCCATTTTATGTGACACTTTTTATTTCTCGAGAATCAAATAGTTTAAGTTTGACCATAAATTTGCGTATGATATCTTCAATTTTTAAAAAAAAATTGGAAAAATTAGATAAATAGTAATCTTAGCTTCTAAGAAATGTGACATCATTATTTACATATCCAACTTTTTTATATATATAAAAGAGTAAAAAAAGAAAAAATAAGTGATTTAAGAAAATTATATAAATAACATTAATGATGAGATGAAGATTAAGAAAAAACGTCAAATAAATTAGTATACGCACAAATTAATATAAGGAAGACAAAAGAATTTTTGAAAATATATTTGTGGAAGCTCTTTCTAACAATTGCATATATATATATATAATTTTTAAAATATGATTCCCTCCGTTTTGATTTTAAAAAGATAATAATCTTTAAATTTTAATATTTTTTGTATAGCATATTTAAGATCACAAAATTAAAAAATATTTTAATATATTTGATATATACCACAAAATTTAAATGTACATATAAATTTTAATTTTAATTGATTTCCACCAAATATTATAGTTGATATATAATTAGTAAGAGCTAAATGTAATTATAATTTATTTACTTTCATGTAAAGAGATGTATCATTTCTGAACATATCCACTGGCTCAAGAGAAGAGTGAGACTCTAATTAATGGGGAGAGCGATTTTAAAAATTTAAATTTACAGAAAGAATAAATTAATTTGGAATTTCTTATGCAAATTATGTGGGTTATTAATATTTTGTATTGGTTGAGAGAGAGATTTTTTAAGTTCCTAATTATTGTAATTTATAGTTATTAGTTTGTTGTGATTTATAGTACTTTTTGCTCATCATTTTTAAATAATATATGTTATTCATGTTCTAATTCACGTGAATAATTATAAATATTTTCAGTTGTTAATTTATTGTGAATTCTAGGACTTTTGACGCCATTTTCAAATAATATAAGATACTGCTTTTATTTTAATTAGCCAAGCAAATTTCCATATATGATTTAAAAATATTTTCAGTTGCTAATTATTGTAATTTATAGTATTTCTTATGTAATTTTTAATAATACATTTTATTGTATTTATTTAAATTCATGCGACAATGATAGAATTTTAAGAATCAATAAAAAAAATTTAGAAAATGTAATTTCTTTCTTCTATATTTTGTAGCTAAAATAAAATAAATGAATTATTAAATATCAAAATGTTAAATTTTCAAGGAAGAAATAAAGTGGGAAAAAATAAAAAAGAAATTGTGAGGAACAAATAAAAGAAGGAAATGAGAATTGTTAATGGGCAATTGGATAACAAAAATTAAAGAAAAATAGAAAAATGTGAAATAGGCAGAATGCCAAAGAAAAGGCTGCATACACGTGGGGTCCAAAGTGAAGGTACAATTTATGTTACTTTTGGTACAATTTCGTGTTGCTTTGTTTGTCCTTTTGGTACAACTTGAACTGCTTTTGGTATCACATTTTAAAGCTGTGTTAGTCCCAACCCAATAGTACAACTTGAACAGCTTTTGGTATCACTTCTTAAAGTTGTGTTGGTCCTTTCCAAGTCTCACTTCTAAATAAGAGTAATAATATATATATTATTTTATTTTAAAAAGAGAGGTACATATATTGATGGAAGACATAACCTACCCTATCTTCAAATTCAATTATCATACTCTTTATTTGGCAAAAAAAGGTAAAAAAAATTGTTGACATTGAATAGTATTAATTATTTAATATTCCAAAAAACAGCTTTAAAAAATAAGTAGGTGATCTGTCTAGAATCTCATTGCATTTGCCCTTCCCTTTTTAGCAATAATAAAACAATTAATGCACTTTAATAATTTCAAGCATGTCCTAATTTATTCTATGATACATTAAAGTAAATTAAAATATTTTAAGAGTCTTACCTGTTAATCTACACTTTATTATATTCTTCTTGTTAGCTTGTTCATGTGCTTCTCCAAACTTTTACATTTTCAACATTATATTATACACACTATTTTTTTATTATAAAACACATGAGCTATTTTCAACATTATATTATACACACTATTTTATTAAAGTATATAAGCTATGTTCAACCTTATATCAAACACCATTTTATTTGTAAGCTCGAGATATTTTAATCTCTAATCAAATTTTTCTTTATAAGTTGGATAATCTAATTTTTTATATATATATATTTGATGATCCAACATTTTATTATTCCTTAGTGAGATATTAACTTAAAATGAAGAAAAAATGTATTAAAAATCAAGGCACAAACAAATATAGTTAATTTTACCCTATCCCCCTTAAACGTTTGAATATGAAAAAAGCGGAATGACATTGAAGATCCTTTGTATTTGAATTTGTTTATTAGTCGGACTCTACTATTCATCACTTTTTGCAAAAAATAATAAACCTCTTTGATCTTAAATCAACAATCAAACATGAAAAATAGAAGATGAAATAACTAGTATATGTATAGGTTATGAGAGAATCTACACATAATTTTACGAAGAATAGGAGATGAAATAACCATTACGAATAACTTAGGCATAATACATAAATATGCCTTTTCAGTTGGCTTTAACTCACATTTATGCCCTCCAAGACTCCAACTTTGGGTGTGCACAAGTAAACACTTATACTGCATAAATGTGAACAAATAGACACACATATTCTACATGATATCCTATAAGACAATTTGCATCCTACGTGCATTATGCCACGGGGGACTCATGTGTATACTTGTTCAATTTTATACAGGTTTAAGTGTCTACTTATGAGTTGTGCATATCCCAAAAATAGAGAGGATAAATGTGAAATAATGTAAGGTTGTTCAAAACCAAATCGAAATTGATAATGTGAACCAACTTTTTTTATTGGTTTATCGATAATGAGTTATTCATTTAGCGGTTTCAATAATGATTTTTTTAATTATCGGGTTCTTAGTTCTTTACAATTTGAGATTTTTTCTAAACAGATTAACCGATAGTAAATTATATAACTATATTTATACCATTTTGCATATAAAATTCTTGACTTAAAGTTCAACTTCGTACTTTTATTTCTGGTTGTCTCAAATTCTCGGTTATTCTACAATGTAACGATGTTTGCTTTTGAGCAAGATGCAATCTGTCTACTCTCGCGCATGCTTCATTTGGTTTGTCATCTTGTTTCTAGTGATTCTCAGTGATTTTCTTGTGTCAAAGTTAAATCGATAATCAAACTGATAACGATTAATAAACATTAATGGTTCTATAATTGTTTAACATATCTACAAATCGATAATCGATAAGTCAAAATGATAAACTCAAAACTGAACCTAACAGACCAATATACAATTATGAAATAAGACCAAGTTAAAACGCACATTTACGTATTATTGGCACTAAGTACTTACTATGCCAAACGACCAAATTTACTCCAAGAACAAAAATGGGACCAAAAGGCAAAAAAGTGAAATGATGACAAGGCCAAATTGGAAAGAGCCCTTTCACAATACAAAGTGTCAAAGTGCCAACCGTAACAGAAGAAAAGAATAGTAACCTCCCATTTGAGAGAGAGAGAGAGAGAAGAGGGGAAAGAAGGGTCTGAAGAAATCACCGATTCTCTAGGAGAAGAAGAAGCCAATAGAAAAAAATGGGTACGCTTCAAACTTGGAGGAAAGCTTATGGAGCTCTCAAAGACCATACAACTGTTGGCCTTGCCCATGTTAATAGCGATTTCAAGGTCACCCCTTTTCCCCTAAATTTTCTCTTCTATATATTTGGGTATTTCAGATTATCTTTTCTGGGTTTTTTTCCGCACTTTATTTGGTGTAAAATTGAGCAATCAAGACTGAATCTTGGATCGTGGCAGTAAAGCCGGCAACTCTCGCACTTTATACTTGAAAATTATTTCGATTTTTTGATGTTTTGGTGGTGGATTTTGTTGATTAGGATGTGGATGTGGCGATCGTTAAAGCTACCAATCATGTTGAGTGCCCACCAAAAGACAGACATCTTAGAAGTGAGTGTTTCTTTACTCTTTTAACAGATCCAATACTATGGAGGGAAATCTGAGAAATTTTTGATTTGGGGTTCTCATATTTTCTGAATATTGTGTTTGGGGTACTTGCTTTTAGGGAAATCATGTGTGTTTTCTAACCTGGGTTTCTTTCTTTTTGGTGTAAAAGTTGTTTTTTAGAATTTGGTTAATCACTTAGTTGTTAGGGATTTTACTTGTAAATATTCATTTAGGTTTGTATTTTTTTTATTGTTATTGATTTGTGTTTGTGTTGTTACAGTAGAAATGTTGGTGGTAATATTGTGGTATTGGTTCTTGCAGAAATTTTGGTTTTTACATCAGCGATGCGACCTCGTGCTGATGTTGCGTACTGCATACATGCACTTGCGAGGCGATTGGCGAAGACACATAATTGGACGGTATGGAGTGTGATACAGTTCGTTTAATTGACAAAATCATGTACTTGAGTGCCTTTTCGCGGATTTAATTTATCTATGGGAGTGCATTTTTATTGATGTTTTGATATTAGTGAGACCATATTTTATGATTGTGGCTCCGATTATTTGGATTTTGGAGTGTAAAATGGAACTGTTTATGTTGTTCTTAGTACTATTGCAATATGTTCCACTCCCCACTCCCCCCCCCCCCCCCCCCTCCTGCACTATACACCTATGGCTATATAACTTGTTAGCTATAGGGAAAAGTACATCAATATGTTTCACCAGGGATTTGGGTGAATTAAAGTAGTCCAGAAAGATCTTCACTTGCAACTTTGAAGGCTCTAGTTTAGGTGGTGTCTTGGAATTTGTCAGCACAATCACCTCTTCTTTGCGGTTTACTATTTTGTGACGTACTTTACACTTAAGTTGCTTAACTAGTCCTTTCCCTTACTGATGTGTTTTACATATAAATATCTTTCCGCATTTTCTGAAATAGGTAGCGCTGAAGACGTTGATAGTAATCCACAGAACATTGAGGGAAGGTGATCCGACATTTAGAGAGGAACTCTTGAATTTCCAACAGAGAGGACACGTTCTCCAAATGTCCAATTTCAAGGATGATTCAAGTCCAATTGGTTGGTAAAATTACCATAAATGTTCTTTTGAGTTTCTATTTACCTTTAGATTCCATCAAGTTCAACCAGAATGATTCTATCTTTTCCGTTCCTCCAGCTTGGGACTGCTCTGCCTGGGTACGAACATATGCACTCTTTCTGGAAGAACGACTTGAATGCTTTAGGGTTCTGAAGTATGATATTGAAGGAGAGCGCCTTCCTAAACCTGCCCAAGGGCAAGAAAAGGTTAGCATAACACTGCTGAACTTTCTGCTTACTATTCTACATAGTTCAAAAAGTTGTCTTTTTTTCTGTGAAGAAAATTGAATAAATTTAGCCTACTAGAAGCAAAGTCATTTCATAAAATGTTCATTCCATGCTTTTCCTTCCCATGAACTGGATAAATCATGTGGTCCACACCATTGGAGACTTCAGTTTCTGAAACATTCTGGAGAAGGTGCTTTGGCTGTCTATCAGCTATTTTATACATCTCCCCTTCCCTTGTTTCTTGCACTAAGTTGAGGATCTGTTAACATGCCTAGTTGCAGATCCACAGTTTCTCTCAGATATATTGCATATTATTAATTACTATGTAAAGATGATTAATAGAACCACCTTAAATTTTCTTACTTACTGATACTTATGATGCTTTGGAATATTAACAAGAAAAAGAGTTATGATGCTTTGGAAAGTGGAACTTTTCTTCCTGTGTTACTGCTGTCTATGTTGTGTTGACATGACATACAAAAGCAGAGCCGGGATTTGAGTCTTATGGGCTGAAGATTCTAGTCCTTTTACTGGGTTCCAAATTAATAATTTGTACACATTTCATGGGATTTCTTAAGGCAAATACATGGTTTTTGGATCAAAGCTACTGGGTTAGATAAAACCATAGAAGTACAATAACCCATATTGAAGTTCCTACCATAAAAAAGAAAATATTAACAAAAAAAATTGTTATCTATAATAACAAAATTACCGTGATTATTGAGACTTCAGATGCTTTATTGGTGCCTTTGATACAAATTAATTTCAGAAAAGAAGATATTTCTATGGTATGTATGTTTTACAACTTAACAGTGGGTTTACGTCGTACTAACTCCAAAGGAAACCTCTCGCACTTCCAATAAAATCACGTGGAAATTGTCTATTTGGTACAACATTTAAAAGAGGACATTGAGAAGAGCCAGGACTTAATTTATTTTCCTGCAACCGTAGGAGTAATTGATTAGGTCTTTGGTCTTTGATACATTTAATATCTTCTATATATCATTACTTGAAATTTGAATTATCATGTGCATTGCAAATATCTTCATACTAGTTATATTTAAGAATCAATTAATAGCTCTTATGAGTGATTAACATTTGCTGGTGAGCAGCTGCCACAGTGTCATTTTCAGTGAATTTCTGTCACACTGACCTAAATGAACTGTCTGATTGCAATACAGACACTGCTTGTCTACCTGCTGCTAGAGACACTAAGTTTGGTGGATTTAATGAGTTTTAATCTGTTGCTCGTTTAGTCAGTATGAATGTAACTTCCAAGTGTCATTTACTTTTGACCAGGGATACAGCAGAACTAGGGAGTTGCCCAGTGATGAACTTTTGGAGCAGTTGCCTGCTTTGCAGCAATTGTTGTATCGTCTAATTGGATGTCGGGTAAAGTTTTGAAGATTGATAAACTCTCTTTTTATGTCTTTTGGATGACATTCCTAGTCAGATTGTAAGAGCTCTATATTTCATCTATTTGGGGTATAATATCTAAAAGTCTTTACTTATATTACAGCCTGAGGGAGCAGCACTTGGAAATTATGTGATACAATATGCCCTTGCTCTGGTATGTTTTTTTATTTTGGCATACCCTTTTATTTTTGGTTAAATATTCTGGCTACCTGTGTTAAATTGATTGATATTTTATACTTATCAAAAAAGTTCGTTGATACTCGTAAATTGAGTACCCAAGAGTTTGACCTAATAGTTGATGAAGTGGGTGAAAACCACGGAGACCATGATTCAAATCCCCTAACAGAGACAAAAAATGATAAGTGAATTTTTTTTCTATCTAAGTTTTTGGTGGGCAGTTACCTAGACTGCGTTGCCTAAGCTGACATCAAGTTGTAGACTTTACGGTTGAATAAATGGTGGTGTAAAGATTTACTCATTTTTCATTCCAGGTTCTCAAGGAGAGCTTCAAAATCTATTGTGCTATAAATGATGGAATAATTAATCTTATTGACAAGGTGCATTTGACTTTTAGCCTCTTCTATAACATGACCTCATCAAAATATTGCTCGTTGCTGTCATATCTGTTTGACATTATTTTTCTACTGATTTTAATTCAGTTTTTTGACATGCCAAGACATGAAGCTATTAAGGCCCTTGATATCTACAAACGAGCTGGCCAACAGGTGAACACACTGACAAACTTGATAAAATATTTTGTTTCTTCACTATTTTGGTAGAATATTTTTTTTCTCCATTTAAAAAAATATTTTGTACTCTATACTTTCGTTTCTTACTGCTTGTCTATCACCATGGGACATTTCTGTGGGTTTGTGGTGGTTATCTGTAAATTTTATCATCTTGTTTCAGGCCATGAACCTCTCTGACTTTTATGGGGTATGCAAAGGATTGGAACTTGCCAGGAACTTTCAGTTTCCTGTTTTGAGAGAGGTAATCATACTACCAAGCTTCTCTATTGATTGATTTGTCTTCAAATTTGATGGTCTGTCAGCTTGACACGCTATTCTGGTTTTCAGCCTCCTCAGTCCTTCCTTGTGACCATGGAAGAGTATATAAAAGAAGCACCCAGGATTGTCTCTGTGCCAATAGAAACTTTGGTACTACATTCTTTTATTTCATATGCATGCATATGTTCTCCAAACAAATTATATGCCAACTTTGTTTAGTGCTGATCTATGTTTTCCTTTCTATATCTTAATAAAGTGTATAAAGCTGGTTATAGTGTAGCAATATACATGTCTATTGTCTAATATCACTGTAGAATACTAACATTATTAACTATAACTAGGATTATCCGGAGAGGCTTATGCTTACGTATAAACAAGAGGATGAACCTTCAGCTTCTGAAGATGCTCAAGATTCAGCCAACGAAACCCCACCTCCTCTGCCTTTAGATGATACTGTTGTTTCAACCACCGAGGCTCCTTCCCCGCCAATGCCTCCACCCCCAAGCAGCTTGGAATCTGATGATTTACTGGTGACCTCAGCTAGTCTTATTGAGTTATTTATTGTTTATCTGGAATTTGATGGATACTGTTTTGGGATATCTCTTTTTGTTCCTATTGTTACTAGTATTTTTGTTGTTTCAGGGGCTAAATGCACCAACTGGTTATGCATCAGCAATTGAGGACAGCAATGCTTTGGCTTTAGCGATAGTTCCATCTGGTAAATTATCTAATTTCACCTACTAATATGTAGAACACTTCTTGAGAAAATTGGGTGTTGGTTTATTTTAAATGAACTATTATTACTTCTTGCAGGGACAACACCATTTGACTCGAATCCTGCTCAGCCAAAAGATTTTGATCCTACGGGATGGGAGCTTGCCCTGGTCACTACTCCCAGCAGCGACTTATCTGCAGCTCAGGAGAGACAATTGGTAAGCCCTTGAACTTCAATTCTTAAAGGTTGTGCTTTTTTTAACTGCAAGGGTACTGAATCTGGTCCTTGGTGTCAGACTGCCAGGTCTATGTAGTAGTGTACCTTCATGTTTAAACTCTCTTCATCCCATTTGTTGTGGTTGCTGTCAAATTTATCTTTTTCTCCGCAAATTCTTGATTGAAAAAAGGGAGATTGCAGAGTGCTAATCTCAACTGTATTTTACTTAATCGGATTTTGTAATGCAATGTTGATCATAATTGGAGAGAACTCTTTGAAACCATTTTTTATAAACTTCTCTAAGTGGCTTCTCTTTGCATGTTCATTTGCAAACGGAACTGAGGGAAACATGTAAAGCATTGAAGTTAATTAACCATAGGGGGGGGGGGGGGTTCTGATACTTAATAGTGATAACATTTCCTTATCTTCTTATCTGCTTTGTGAAATCAAGTAAATATCTTCTTTGACATTTGTTTTGGTATCTTTCTAACAGGCTGGTGGATTGGACTCCCTCACACTGAATAGTTTGTATGATGAAGGAGCATATAGAGCATCTCAACGACCAGTATATGGAGCACCAGCCCCTAATCCATTTGAAGTTGCTGATCCATTTGCCATGTCTACCACCATGCCTCCCCCTCCGTCAGTGCAAATGGCTGCGGTGCCTCAACATCAAATGAATCCTTTTGGACCATTCGAACCTGCCTATCCACAACCCCAAAATCCAATGATGAATCCCCACAATCCTTTTGGTGATGCAGGGTTCAGTGCATTTCCTGCCAATCATGTTGCTCATCCACAAACAACCAATCCTTTTGGGAGTACCGGCCTGATATAATAGAAGTTGTGCATCCACACGACATATCAAAGTCTTGGCAGTTAAGTGTATCGCCTGTCAATCATGTTGCTTTCCCACAAACAATCAATCCTTTCGCGGAGCACTGGGTTGCTATATTCAAAAGTTGCACATACATGAGTTGTAGCAGACTTGGCATAGTCGATTTTGTTAGTGAATCTGCGGTTGTGTAAATCATTCACGTGATATAGTTTTCGAAAGCAGTCTATATGTTTGCTTTTAAGATGTAAAGATGGTTATAATGGAGATTCAACTTTTTTTCAGTTGATTGAAATCACTCCCTCTATGTTATGGACTTAATAGACACCTTGCCCTCTTTGTGCATTTTTTTAGTATATATCAACCTATATTGTTCCATTGCTATCATAAGTACCCAATTAGCAATAACAAAGAAAGGGAAGATAGTATTTAGTAGAGAAGTTATATAGTACAATAATACATGTATCCTTTTAACTTGGTTTTAGTTTGCATTTATGAACTCCAACTTTGGGTGTGTACAAATAGACATAAACGCTCTATAGATGTGTTTGTCTACTTGTTCAATTTTATACAAGTTTAAGTGTTTGTTTGTGCACGTTCAAAGTTGAAGGATATAAATGTTAGTTAAAGTCAAGTTAAAGGACACGTCTAGGTTTTATGTGTACATTATTTGGTATCAATATGTGAAGATGAGAATGGTTCTTGTTCCACTCCCTACAATTGCTGAAAAAGCAAAAGAAATCTGCAAGTCAAGTTTTTGATTTCATCAAAGGAGACCAAAATGCTTTTTAAAAGGAGTGAGTATTTATTCCACATGAACTGTCACTTCCTATAAATTTCACACCACAACTATTAGTCGTTTCTTTTTCTTACCTAAACTATCACCATCTATGTATTAAAACATACCAAGTCGAATAGATAGGTACAAAAAGAGAATAACTGATAATTTATCTTATCAACTTTGAGGTATATTTTCATACACAGATGATGATAATTAAAATATAAAAAATGGAACATTTGATAGTTAGGATATGAAACTCAGAAAAACAACAACGGTTCAAATGTGTTTTGACCATTAATAACTCATATAAAAATGAACCACCCTTCCTTAAAAATTCTTTATATTTCATGTGGAGGTGGTCAAAAAAAATAAATTAAAACATGATAATCAAACATTAATTTGGATATATAGGTGAACCATCTTTACTTACTTATCCCTCTTTGAGCAATCAATAAATTTCAAGAATGTTGACCCCTCCACCTTACATAGAAAAGAAATTATACTAACCTTGGGGGGTCCCCTAGTTGAAGGTCTAAAACTTTCTCTAATGCAATAATGTTCACATTAATTTTTCACACATAATATTATTAAGATTTTATTTTAATCTATCTTTGCTTAATGTTTCAACTTTATAACCAAGAACCTGGATTGTGTTTTCCATAATTAATTGCAATAAGTATGTAGGGTCCCCAAGTATGACTATAATTATTCATGTATTAATTGCATTCATTAATCAAAATAAAATAATGGAATAATACATGATCTTTAAAAGTTGGGGAATCCGGTGGTCCGCCATAACTATGGACAAGCAAAGAAAGTAGCAGACGTTTTGTTCAGATTAGGTTCCAAGCTAACAATGACCGATCAACAATTTATCCTACTAGTACTCCTCCAGATGCTGAAATAGATCAACTTAAGACAGATCAAGATGAAGAACTATATAGTAAACTAGTATTACAGTTAGCTTGTTTTGATAATCTATCTGTAACCACTAGTACTAACAGTGATAATGTACCGTCTAATGTTTAACAATATACAAAAATATCCCTTTATCCAAAAAAATAATAATTGTTCTTCATGCTGACAATTTTGATTTGAGAATTATTTGGATTTTACTTTTGTAGTTAATAAATTCAATAAATCTATGTCTTGGCAACTTTTGAAGGAGATATCTTGATAGCTACGTGAAATAAGCAAAGTACCACCTGAGAGGTCAAGTAGGATGAATAAAATTCCTAGCGAAATTTTTAATATCGATCTCTTTATGAATTTTACATAATGTGAATCTGAATTAGTCAGATCAGTGAATTTCGTATACGAATATGAAAGAATGTGAAATATATTATCATTTGGGTCTTCTATTCAATGGACGGAGCGTAGAAACTAAAAAGTAATTAGACTGCTTTATTGTTTGCTAATTTTGAAATTGTCTACCAAATAATTAAAAGACTAATGGCTTGAAATTGAAGATTATTGAAAGTGGTGTGGGCCAAAACATAAATATGGTTGAATTAAATGGCCATTAGAGTATTAACAATTCTTCTATCAGAATCTTATATTGGTTATGTAACGATAAAGTTGTCCACATATATCCTATAGATCACGGGTTTGAGCCGCAAAAATAGGTATTAATGTTAGCCGAAATTGAATTTATTGGACCAAACTTTGAAAGTCTGATATTTAATATCTATTTTCATTTATCAATTACTGAATTACTCAAATCGAACTATGCAAATACCAAACACCCATTCCTTCGTAATAAAGGAGAAGAAGTACTTAGTAGAATGAGACGATCATAAATAAATTCGAGATTTAAATTTTTTGAAATTGTTTTTGGTCATTTCTTTAAAATTTGGATTTATACCTATCATTTTTTACAAATTTGACAATTTTTTATATATAAATCTATTTCAACATTGAAAGTACTTAATTCAAATAAATCTACAATTATAATTATATAGTATGATTTAAGTTCTCCCATACACAACATTATTTTGTACAAACAAAAAAAAAAGAATCTTTTTTAATGCTATGTTGAGAAGAATGAAACATCCCATATTCTTAAGTTAGCATAATTGATAGTGAGATAGCCATAAAATTCTAATTAACCTTCAAAATAAATCAATCATATAAAAGTAATAATCAAATCAAATAATATACTATGTGTATGTATATAAAAATAAATATCTTTTCTTTATTCATGGAATATAAACATCTAATACAGATAAATTTTATCGTTCATACTATTTAGTTTTATTCAAATTCCATTCATTGAATCAAGGACATTGAGGTAGGGCTTACCTACATTCATATATCAACAATATTGTTAGTCAAATTTAATGATCAAAATGTCAAAACAAAAAAATAGTATTAATGTTTGAATTAATAATCGCAAAAAAACGTCTTAGTAAACTACAATTAGCACATAGTATTTATTTGATTATTGAGCACCAAAGTACACAAATACCAGATTTGAAGTCATCTAACTCATCATATTAAAAAAATTGTAAATTTATTCGCTATAAAATAACTACACATGTGGTATTTGAAATTGGTATATAAAATCAAATTTGAAGCAAAATATTTGAAATTTTATATGATTGAAATTTAGACACATATAACTAAAGTATAATTTTTTTTTTCATGAACTTCAACTAATCTAACTTCAGATATTTTTATTAAACCTTAATTTCAAACACTCTGGATATTTATAATTCTTCCAAATTATATAGGCACACACAAACTTATAAAATAAATTCAAATTAAGCAGGTTAAGCTATTGGATATGGAATGTAAAATCATGTATTTAAATATGTGATTTGACATCATAATTTCAATCCTAAATTCTTAAAAAATATGATCTAGAATTCTAAATTGTGAATTCATTTTTTAAAAATGTACAATTTGATTCATTAATATATTTGTAAAAAAAAATCATGAAATTATGTGTATATGAAAATATAAGAAATTGTTCCTATCACGTGAAAAATATATATTAAAGAATAATTAGTTACTGCTATTATTGACAAGAGGATCTTCATGAAATTATGTGTATATGAAAATTTATAATCAGAAATATTTATTATAAAAGGAAACAATAAAATATGTTATATACAACGCGGCACTTTAGAATATTCTGATATCTGGTATAAATTACAATATGTTCATTTGGTAAAACTATCTAAGAAATACGAAATTTTTGATGAGTTTTCATTTTTATGAAAAAGAAAAATACAACATTACATATCTAAACAAAACTTTAGTATCGAATCAATCTACTTTCAAATCATAATTTCATATCATATATCTAAACGTAAATTTAAATAGCAATGTCCAAATAAAGCTTTAGTATGTAAAAAAAAAAAGTAAAAGAGCGCGGGAGTGTGACAGACAGATCTATGTGATGAAATCCAGCATCTGATGGGCCCCAAACCTAACTTTTGTTGGTGGTCCAAAATTGATGGGTGGGCCCATTTACATGTTTTTGGATCCAAAGCCTATACTTTCTCAAAGAAAATACAATTTATTTTTTAGAAAAAAAATAAACAAAAAAAAGAAGAGTAAACAAACAACTCATAACAATACTTTTGACTTTTCTTAAATTTTTTTTTTGAAAAAACAAGAATATTATTGATAAAATAATATGAGTACAATTTTGTTCTTCTCTCTCTTAAGATTTATTCGTGATTCAAGGGTCATAGCGTATTTCTCGAATTAGAATAATGTAGATCTTCTTGAGATTTATTTGATGTCTATGAATATTTCATGAATTTGTGGAATATTTGAGATTTTTTTGATAAAGACAGTATTTGATGTCATCGCAATCTCTTTGTGAATATCCAAGAGTTATGAATATTCGAGATTTAATTGAGAAAGACAATATTTGCTATTTTCATGACCTCTTTGCGAATACTTAAAATTTATGAGATATTCGAGAATAATAATTTTTGCCTTATCTTTAGTTATTGAAATATATTTGAAAAAAAAAAATTATGGGAGGGAAGTTTGAAGTAACACTATAATTATCTTGTGTGATTTATAAGTCACGAATTTAAATTGTGAGATCAATCAATATGTTTGTGATAGATTATTTCTATCACATCCATACGATAATTTCTTTGTACTCGAATTTAATGCATTTGAGCCAAAGATCTATTGAAAACCGTCTTTCTTAATAAAATTTATATACAATCTACTCTTTTCAGACCCATAAAAGAAATTTCACATGTTATTATTATTTGTTGTTTATACTTTATACAACAATTTCTTAAATTTCTAGTACATGAATATGAAATGTTTCTTTTCAAGAGTAAAGTTCTTTCTTCTTTTTTAAAGAAATGAAGACCAAAACTAATAAGATGAAGATGTAATAATTACTAGTATAAGCTAATTAAATTAAATAAATGAATTGGTACGAAAAGAAGAATCCAGCAAATGTTAGCTGTTGAATGTATACAATTATTTATTAAACTTAAAGATGCTTTTCTTTGATCGATTTATTTATTTTTGTTTGTTTTTTCCATCATATCTTTATAGGAATATAA